AGTTCCCCCCCCCCCCCCCCGTCCTATCTGAGAAGATCCTGTGCCCTTCCCCGTACAAGGAAGGGTATTAAACCCTGGTGCCATGGTGAGGGTCCAGCGCAGGGTCACTGTAGTGTCTGACTGTTCCCTGGTACCTCTTCTCCTTCAGTCCTCTTTCCTTCTTGCCTTTTGGTATGGTATTGCAGCACGCTGTTAAATATACCCTGGTACGACAGGGCTGATGTTTCTCTGGGACATACAATGCTTTTTTGGGTGTTTAATGTACATATGACCCTCCAGAACAAGGGTGGGAGCGTTTGTGTGACCGGATCCTTCCTCGGTGTTTCTCAGTGCTGTGATCTGGGATTCCACGCCAGCCTCGCTCGAACGTTCAGAACGTACCTGTCTGCCGAGTACAACCTGGAAACCTCCCGCCACGAGGGCCTGGACATCATTGAGAACGCCGTGGACAACCTGGATGCACGGAGTGACAAGCACACCATCATGGACATGTGCAACCAGGTCTTCTGCCCTCCGCTGAAGTTCGAGTTCCAGCCTCACATGGGGGACGAGGTACCGTACTCACCCGAGAGGCTGCAGAGGCACCTCGCAGCCTGGCCTGGCTTCCTCCTCCTCTTAACCATCACTGTTCCTTACCCCTCTGTGCTGTCTTCACATGCTGCTATTCGTGTTTCCTTTCTTAATGAGACACTTGGCTCATTAGGGCTCCTCCTTTCAGTCTGCCTCTTGCTCTGTATCCCTCCCAATTAGGAAGCCTGTGGTTTGATTCTCAGCTGAACTGCCCAACAGATTTGTAAAGTGGAGCTTTGATTTACCTGCCGTAATTGGAAGACTTCAGAATGCAGCTTTCAAATGCTGGGTAGAAAATGCTTTGTGCTGGCCCGGGTCCAGGGCACTGCTGATTAAAAACTGGGCGACACAGCCTCTGTGGAGGCTGCAAGGAGCTTATGGGTGCTGGGGAGAATCATTTAGGTATTTAAATGTGTATGTCTGGTCAGTGCACGACACACTGAATGCTCTCCTGTCTCTCTCTGGCACCGCTCCTGTCTCAGGTGTGTCAGGTCAGCGCCCAGCAGCCTGTGCAGACTGAGTTGCTGATGAGGTACCACCAGTTGCAGTCGCGACTAGCCACCCTCAAGATAGAGAATGAAGAGGTAAGAAGTTGCTCTGGGTCTTGTGTTTGGCCTTGTAGGCAGCATTGCTCAGCCTTTTGCCTGTTACGCAGGGGTTCCTGATGTGCTCGGGTGTGGAGTCCTGCCAGTGACAGTGCTGAGATCTCCCATTGACCGCAGCTAGGGCAGGAGCAAGCCCAGTACTTAGGAGCTGCCTGTTGGCCAGTTGTTTTGGATCAAGATGTGTCATTTTCTCAGTCTGCTTCAAAATCATGCTATCTTCTATTTCTGATGATAGGTACGAAAAACTCTGGATGCCACAATGCAGACTTTGCAGGACATGCTGACAGTGGAAGATTTTGATGTTTCAGACGCCTTCCAGCATAGTCGCTCCACTGAGTCAGTCAAATCAGCTGCATCGGAGACCTACATGAGTAAAATAAACATCGCCAAGAGGAGAGCCAACCAGCAGGAGACTGAAATGTTCTATTTTACAGTAAGTCTCATCTCATGCGATACAGGACACAAAGCATTAATTGCTAGGGCTGAGTCCCACTTTAAGTGCTCATTAGTGAAGAGCAAGAACCAATTCAGTCTCTTTAAGTATTTGTCTTCTGTCTGACTTGGGGTTGGAATGCATTTCTCAGTGGCAGGGCAGTGCATAGGGACTGACAATCTGGTGTCTGCCTTGTTCTTCTTTTTGAAGGAACAACTGGAGCAACCAGTTGGGACCGAAAACTTACCGGAATCGGTAGGAGTGGCTCAGAGCAGGGCAGCAGACTCCAGCCAGCCTCGCAGTGTGCCACCATTCAGTGGCTGTTCCTGGAGGCCTTTACAATTTTGAACCATCAGCCAAGCCTTCCTTTTCTGGCCTACACAGCTAAAATCTGCCCTTGGCCCATGGGATGAATTAAACGGTCATTTGCATCTCATGCAGGGTGTTGGAGGAAGCTGCGACAGCCTGGCTTTGCAATGCCTTGCTGTTGTGTGCGTGCTGGGTAGAGGCAGCTGTGCTGTGTCTCCCCTGCAGCCTTGCTCCCGTACTTCACTTCCAGGCAGATCTGAGGTTCTCTGTTATAGTACTTGAAATGTAAGTAATAAGCCATCAGTTCAGCAGAAGTAGCCCTCATTTAAGCATGGTTATTGGGCTAAAGTTAATAGCATCTTGTGATATATTACATATGCATAGAAAAGCTTCTACTTTCTCTTAACAGTAGTATTATTCCAATTCAGGGGGAAAAAACTTGCATTTTTCGTTTTGAGTTGTGCTTGGGTTTTTTTAATGGCTTTTTGCAAGAATTTGATCTTTCCCATTCTCTGTCTTTCATTTTCCATCTCTGTCTCCCTCACTCCTTTTATCTGTAGAATTACTTGTTCTTGCGTGTTACTGGGTGTCAGACAGTCTCACAATGAAATCAGAAGTTGTGCTGCACAGTTAATGTCACCCAGCGCATAAAGCATCTGATGGTCCCTGACCTGGGAAGGTCGCACACACTGGGAGCTCTTGCTCTGCATCACTTGTTTGCACAAAGGCAAAGCGCCTGTCAGTGGAGGGAAAGCCTCTTTGATTTTTCCAGGCCATTCCCAGAAGTCTGACAAAAGAAAGCTTGCTTTGAACTTGTTTCTTTGGAGCTCCTTGCATTCCCAGGCAGGAGGTGCAGCACCAAGGAGACAGAGCTAATAAGGTCATCAGGACTGTGGCTGGAGCAGTGAAAAGTGATTAGACCATGCTCAGCCCTGCGGCGCATCTGACATCTGGTTTGTTAGAGCCTGTCATCCTTGCCAAACCCCCTCCAGCAGCCCCCCAGGCAAAAGTGTACATCAATTACCAACTATTTTTGCCAAGTGTCTTAACCCACCTTTTTTGTTTTATTTTTAATTCCAGAAATTTAAAGAGTATTTGAATGGCAGTAACCTTATCACAAAGCTCCAGGCTAAACATGACTTGCTGAAGCAGACTCTTGGAGAAGGTGAGTTGCGGGGTCAGGTCCAGGGAGGAACCTCCCATCAGATGAGACGATTTTAAACCAGGCATCACCTTTCAATCTTACCTGCTGTATGTCTTTTCCTGAGTGACTGATGGCTTCTGTGGTTGGCTGCTACTACTAAGTTTAACCAGTGACATGCAAAATCATTATTTCCCTGGAATATTACTCTTTTCCCACCTTTCTTTGGGAGTGCACGTAGAGAAATTTGTTTGAATCATATACTGTGTGGCAAAGTGCTGTGTTACTTCTCTAGCAGCAAAGAGGTTCCTACCCACTCCAACCTTCTGCCTTTTTCCTTTCTCTCCCCCTTCTTAGTGCGACCCTGAACACATGTATTTTCTTGTCCTTGATGCTGTGCTTCTGTGTTACAGATTTGCCAAAAGCCTTCTTGATTTAATAGGCCCCTTGCCCCGCTGGCCATAGGTTTTTGACTTGCTCTAAACCAGAACTGCAAAATCATCCTTGTTTTTAAAACTAACTTTTCCATAGCAGGCTTTTATTACCCCAGATAATTTCACAAGTTTGGTTTAGAGCACATACACATAAATGGGCTTCATACAGCAGAGGGGGCAGTAACTTCTGAGGGAGGCAGGACTGTGTGGCTCCAGGTGGGATCTGCCACTGCTGGGGCATTGATGTGCTACCATGTCCCTGGGAGAGGATTTTAGCACTTTTAAAGGGTTTTAAAAAATTGCGTTATTTCCAGTGTAAAGAAGATGGAGACGAATTAGTGTCCTGATTTTCCGACGCCAGAGAATATATTTAAATTAAAAGGTACAAATGGTCCACGGTCATGTTGTAACAATGCAAAAATGGGACTCCTCGTCTCAGAGTTAAAAAAAAAAATATAGCTTTTTCTTGGCTGTTTGCCAAATGTATTTTCTCTGCCAAATTTATTTAGCCTTACAATCCACCTTCTAGTTAGATCCTGTGGTATGTTCCACTCAGTGAACACTGAGCCAAGTCAAGGCACAAAATGTAAGCACAAGGGAGGCTGCAAGGGTAGATGCATAGGGCTCCATTAACATATTTCTTTTCCCAGGAGTTTCAATACTCCCTGTAGCTGCCTTAACCCCTTATCACCCTGCATAGCAGGTCAGTGACAGCCCTTCTGCATCCTCCCCGAGGCAGTCCTGTTCCATAGCAGCGTGGCAGGGGTTGTGCGAGGCTCGGTGGGTTACTGCGTGCTGCCAGACAGGGCTCCCAGCTGCTGGGTCTGAATTCAGGCTTTGACATAGGCCAGGGGGATGGAGCGTGCGGTTCACAGAAGTTGGACCCATCTAAGCTCTTCCCAGAGATCACAGATCTTAATACAGAAAAGAGCTCTGTTTATTGGATACAGTGCTAAGATTCCTATGGATTCATGCAAGAAGTGATGAAGCTGTTGAAGATTAATTTGATCACCATCCTGGTCTCTCATAGAAGAGCCATACTAGTGCCATACTTAGGAGGGAGAGTGCAGGGTTAGGCATTTTCATTCTCTAGAGTTGTGCAAAAGCAGCCTTGGCAGATTTTCACATGAAAACTTTCTGAATTTCTCCCAGGCCGTGGGATCCTCCTGCTATGTAGGCGTTCAGCAAATATTTAGCCCAGAAATACCAAATGCTGCATTTCAGCATGAGCTGATTCTCATTAGGAAGAAGTCTGGGTTTGCAAAACACTCATGTGGAATTCTTTTCTTTTTCAGTGAGGAACTGGCTGGAAGCTTGCTTTCCGCAGGTGCCAAGGGAGAGCAGGAAGGAGGCATGTGCAGCCAAATGCTTCCTTTTATGTGTCTTAGAAAAAAGAAGAATAAATCAGCTTTCCTGGCCTTGGGAGAAAGGCACAAACAGCATGTGAAATTAGTTTAGGCTTTTTTCAGTGGATTGACAAATACTTTAAAAAATGAACAGATCTTATCAGTGGTGATATGCTGCCATTTATACGAAATCCAAGCACTAAAAATACACAAAGGGAATGAGAATATTGACAGCCAGAATAAGAGTCTGCCTGATCGTGGTTAGATGGGCTGTTATCTCACAGGAAAAGCTGGGGAACTGAATACTCCGCTGCATTCAGGTGCTGTTAGTGGTCCTCCATGAGGCAGTTGGATAATCTCAGCGGCCTCCCTGGGGGCTTCAGCCCTTATCAGACTGCCCCTTCCCTGCTTGGGTTTGGCCAATCCCCACCTTGTGTAAACAAGCACTTATTGCAGAGGACCTGCAGGGCATCTGGTTATTTACAAGATAGGCTTCGTATTGCACATAAACCTTTAATATCAGTGGCCATTGAAGACACTTTCCCTCTCTTGTGGCTCAGTCTTGGATTTCTAATATGTCTTTTAGTGGTGGGGGCTTGTATAGCAAAAAAGCTCGACATCTCCCTAACCTGCAGGGCTCTCGGGCACGTTCAGCTTCTTTTTGCCAGAAGCCATGAACTCAGGGCTTACAGAACCAGAAGTGTGTGAGTGCCTGTGCGAATGTGTTTTAACAGTTGTTTGGTGGTGACTAAGGTGGAGAGATGATGGAAACTTGTGTTTCTTCATAGGTGAACGAGCCGAATGCGGAACAACCAGGTGAGCAGTTTCTTCTACTTCATCTGCTTTTGGGAAGGGCTTGCTCTGGCAGGAGGAGGGTGGCCGTGGGAAGGGTGGTTTGCTTTGCTACTGATACAGCTTGGCGGGGTTCAGATTTAACCATCTTCCAGCTGCCCTGTGCTGGCAGGCCGGAGGGCAGGCAACCCCAGGCTCCCCACATCACTGCCCTGCTTCTCAGCTGCATTGCCTGAAGTGGATTAATTAGGGTGATGACAAACAGGCCCTTGGTTTTGCTGCAGTGTAATTTCTAGGTGACTGGCTCTGAAGTGCCTGGAAGTGCTCTGTCAGCACGGTGTGGTGCAGTGCCTTGTAGCATAGCTGAGGTTGCGTTGTGTGTCCACCCGCTCCCTACCATCCCTGTTCATTTGAGGACTTTGATATGTCCCCAAAAGCCTCTCCCAGCTCTGGCTTCTTTGCCTAGGAGCGCAGAGTATGCCTGTATTCACAGACTTTCATCCCTCTACAGCAGGAAATACTGCTGGGGTGAATGTAACAGGGAGGAGGCTTTGATCTGTGTCCAGTCCATAAAGCATCTCCACAGAGTTCTGGTGGCTTGCTATGAGTGTGCTGGTTTTCTAACAGTAAGACGTGGGCCAGCAAAGCCTCCAAACATCTCCCCAGAACATGTACAACCTCTCTCTGTGTTATCTTTTTAAAACCCTGTTTCAGAGTTTAATAAAATTTGCAATACCAGCAAAAAATGCCCCATTCCATGTTAGAAATGCTGAAGCAGATGGTGAAGCCTGGGCTGCCTTTCCAGGCAGGAAAGAGGCTGCCTTAGCCGAGGGCAGCAGGGCGGCAGGGTGCCGTGCTCTCTCGCCTTCTGGCTGGAGGGGGACTGTGCTGCTGGCGCCAGGCTGAGTGGCGTCAGGGCTGGGCACCCACTGGGGCCACAGTGCAAGGAAGCGAGGTGCCATCAGGACAAAGAGGGGCCTTCCCTGCCTTGCACAGGCCAGACAGCGGGGACTGCACAGTGTGTCACTGCACTGGTGTGCTCCGAGGAGCTGCTCTTGACCATGCTCCCAGGTGCCCTTCGGATCAGCCGTCACGGCAGGCGCTCCCCCGCTGCCATCGCCGCCCCTCCCCCCGGGGCCCCGGGGCCGGCAGCCTTCCCCCTGCTGCAATCGCCGCCTCTCCCTGCGGGTCCCAGGAGAGCTGCCCTACAGCACCCTGACACCCTCGGCGCCCCAGGTGTGTTTGCATGCACACAGCTGGTGGGGGCTACAGACGCAGCCTGTGAGGTGAGCTCTGGTCCTTTGGGTGTGCCAGGCAGGGCTACCTGCTGAGTTGGTCAAGGAAAGCACACCCAAACGACTAGGTAAAACCATAGGGAGAATTTGCTTTTGAGTACTTTGTTTATCAGGAGTGGATGCCCATGGGGTGCTGGTGTCGTAGGCCAAAACAATCAAAGGAATGAATAACAGCCTCCTACACCAGGGATGATGGCACAACTCCCTGCTGCTTCTGTTTGCTTTTGTTTCAGCAGTTGCTTTTAGTTCACAAAGGAAAACAAAGAAGAGACAAATCTCCTTCTTGTGGGAGGCAGCCTGTAAGTGTAGGCAGAGCAACCTTCCCACCAGATACAGCCAGAGGTCAGGCTGCCCTGGCCACCTTGCACCACAGCATCCCCTGGGGAGAGGAGATTACACGGCAGCAAATGGCACTGCGTCTCTAGTCTGCATCACGAGGCTGCTCAGCTGAGAGTCAGGCAGCCACTTGAATGGACAGCAGTCATTTCTGCTCCTCAGTTACCAGTTGAAGGAGTGGTTAGAAGCTACAGGAGTGTAGAGTCAAATGGCTTAAAGGCATGTGATTAAGGAACCAGCGGATCACAACTGTCACCTTTGCATCGTAGCTCTGTGTGAATTGTACATGTCCATTTGGCTCTGCTTTGTGAGAACTTTTGCATGAAGGCTCCTAGCACTCATTTTTGTTTGCAGTCGTGATCTCTCCTCTACAGACAACAATATAGCCTGGGGGTAGAAGACAGATCAGAAATCGGTTAGAGATTTTATGCTGTTTTTCTCCCTTTTCTAGATCTAGGCACTTGGTCTAGATAATATCCTTCATTATCAGAAGAAGAAATCAAAATATGAATAGCGTTAATGAAAGCAGCCTTCCAAAGTCCTGATCACTGCACTAAAATAAGTCACACGTTTCCATGGCCTTCTTTCCAGAAGCAATAGGTGTCTGTTACCCTTGCTGAAGTCAACAGGGTCTTCAAGGTCTGTTCCCTGTGACTGACAAGGGCTCTCGGTCACTAGCTAGGAGGGGTAGGGTCACGCCACTTCCTAATGTGCATGCCTACCTTTTCTGTTCTTATAGAGTTGCTGGTGGGTTTGCTCGTCTGTGTTGACTGGGCTCACCTTTTTCTTTGGTGGTTTGACTCTTGGGAATGCCTGCCAGAAAGATGAAAACCCATTCACATCCCTGTGAATGCCTCCCAAACAGAAGTTAGCTACAGAGAGGTGGAAGTGTTCCCATTTTCATCTTTCTGGCCATCTATGAGCAGAATGAGGTCCATTTAGGAATAAACAGGAATACCTCAGTGTTTCCCAGGGGTAGCTGTGGTTTGTTTTGGATATATCAAGGAATTAGCTGAACTCTGCAGCTACTCTTGGTGCTTTTCCAGGCTGACAGAGTGCTGAACTGATGGAGGTAGGAGGTGGGTGTTAAAAATCCTACTGAGCACCAATGCCTTCGTTTTACTTCTAAAATGTCATCATAGAATGGTTTGGGTTGGAAGGGACCGTTAAAGGTCATCTAGTCCAACTTCCCCTGCAATGAGCAGGGACATCTTCAACTAGATCAGGTTGCTCAGAGCCCCCTCTTGACCTTGAATGTTTCCAGGGATGGGGCATCTACCACCTCTCTGGGCAACCTGTGCCAGTGTTTCATCACCCTCATCATAAAAAATGTCTTCTTTATGTCTAGTCTAAATCTATCCTCATCCCTGGTACTAGCATGAACACTGAGCAGCAGTTTTGACATTTGGCATCTCAGAGAGGGAGAATTGTATCTGCAGATCGTGGGTACCAAAGACAGTTGTGACCAGCTGCATTTAGCATTTTTATTACTCTCTGGCTTGAATGAAGCAAGTTCTGAATGAAGAGCATTCCTGATCACCCGTTGTTCATTCAAGCTTTGGTTGTTGATATAGTTACTGCTCTGTCACTGTCTGAATTCTGAAGATGACTGCTTTTTACAGTAGAAACTAGGGCTCTTCAAGAAGCCCGTAGCAACAGATAGTTAGATTGCTGTATGTGGCTGCAGCTGAGGTTAGAGCCTGTCTGATAGGGAAATACTGGAAGATTATGGGGATGGAAAGTAATGGGTAGGTTGGCTTATTGCTGTTAATGTTTCTATTATCAAGATTAATTTGAATTTATTACTTAAATAAAGGCTGAAGTCTTGACCTTGACTTGAAATTGTGTGTGCAGCATATAGTGAACAGCTCTGATTTTGCCCTGGGCTGCCTACAGGTTAGCTCTGCTGCGCGCTCAGATGCCTGCCAGCTGCACCCGTGCTCAGCCTGGCCTTTGGGACCTGCAGAAGCGAGGCCATTGCGGCACTCCTTCCAAAATGAGTTAGCCAAGTTAGTGCTAGGGTAGCCTGCCCCAGGCTGCTGGAAAAGGCTTTGGAATAAGCAGAGGACACATCCCCAGGAGCCGTGGGCGCGGTGCGCGATGCAGAGGTGTGGAGCCCAGCTCTTTGCAGGGCTCTCGGTGGAGCGGTGTTGCGGGGGGATGCAGCGGCAGGGACGCTGAAGCATGAGCGGCTGCAGGGTGCGTGGAGCTGCGTGTTGAGTCCTCACAGAGGGATTTTTCTGTTTGATTTATTTCTTATTCTCAGTCATAACCTTTGAGATCTCACCCTGTCATTGCATTTATGTTGGTGTTTTGTTGATTTCTTTTGTTCCATTTTCTCCCAGGCCCCCATGTCTTCCCCCTAAGCCACAGAAAATGAGGAGACCTAGGCCTCTCTCAGTCTATAATCATAAACTCTTTAACGGCAATATGGAAACGTTCATTAAGGTACTCGCTGGCTGACAGTAAGAGTTTATGAACACTGTGAATGTAATGGTGGCTTTCCTGTCCTAACTGCTGGCTGCTTTCCTTCCTCGGCGGGGTCTCTCTGGTCCGCCCTGCACCCAGTTGACGTGGTCAGCGCACACTTTGCCTCGGTGACGATTTCTCTCCATAGCTGTCCTCGCCCCTCGTGTGTTCCTTGTGTTGCCCATCCTGTCATCGCCTGTGTGCCCTGGGGCGAGGGTAGCAGTGAGGACCCTCGTGGGTGGTGGCTGTCGGCCATGCTGACCAGCTGTGCTTCCACCCATCCTGGGAGGGAAGATGAGACAGCAAGGATAACCCAGCCCAGCACCCTCAAAGGATCAACAAATGCCCCCACCTTCCCTTTTTCCACACATTTTTGGTTGTTGTCTTCCCCCATGCTTGAGAGGGAAGGTAAAATGACTCATAAGCTCCCAGAAAATATATCCCAGTTGTAAGGAATGGCAGCCTTGAATTGAAACACCATGCGTATGGGTGGCTGCGTGGGAGAGTAGATGTGCTATCCTCATCCTTAAAATATATTAATAATAACCAGCCCAGCTGGCTCATCTCAGTGCCAACTGCTGATAGGTGGCTGAGGGCCTCTCGTACAGCTTGGTACGTACTGGGAGTCTGAAGGCCCCTTCCCACAGCCCAGGCTGGAGGGAGGGTTAACCTGCAGGGAGGACAGGCGAGAGCCGTGTGTCAGTGCAGAGCCTTGAGCTTCTCCCGTGGGAGGCCGTTACCTCCGAGTGTGCCAGGAGAGGAGATGCTACAGCTCGCACGCTGACTGTGACCCATGCTGGCGCCTGTCCATGCTCAGTGTGGGCCAGGACCATGGGCTTGGCTTCCAGTGTTGGAGCAAAGTGATTCCCAAATGGCTGCTGAGCAGTTTCCTCCAAACCATTGCTGATAACATGCAGCGTGCAGTCTTCATAAATGGGACCAAAGTATTTTTTTCATTTAAGCTGGGGTGAACTGAGATGAACTCAATACCAGTGCAGTCCCAGTAGAAGGGGGCATTTGGCCCTGCTTATCCCAGGAAATTACCCAGAAGGAGGGATTTGAGGAGAAAAATGAAGAGACGTGGACGTGGGATTTGTCCCAAAGGATACCTCCAGCTATCTAGCTGCTGATCCTCCAAAATCCAGCACTTTGCTATTGCCTGGCTGCTGGAAGGATTTCCAAAGGAAGCGATGCCGTTCTCGTTGCTCAGAGTATTTAATCCTGCGCTGAAGAAAGCTTTAGTGAAAATACTGTAGGAAGCAGTAATGACAAACTGTTGGATTAGGTAAACTAATAGGCATTGTCCGGCTCCGATTTATTCTCTTAGGCTCTTTTACTGCAACCATAAGCCTAAGGGCAGTGTTTATAAACAGTGCACTGTCACAAGTAATATACAGGCACGACTGACAAAGCCGATAATCTCTTTAATACTTGCAATTATTCCTTACTTAAAATGATTTTTAAAAAAGTAATGCTCATTAAAGTCCAGCCTGTTCAGCACTGTGGAGGAGGAATTAGCTGCAGTAGAAATCTGTCTGAGCGGATGGGTGTCCTGTGCCAGCGGAGACTCCTCGGGGGACGGTGCTGTGCTGCTGGGGCTGTCCCTGAGGCCGGGGTCCGTGTGCTGCCGTAGGAAACATGTGGCCCCATGGGGCACAGGGCTGTGGGCAGCTGTCCGGTGCCCCTGCGCTGGGACGTCTCTCCCTGGAGCCTCACCTGCGCCTGGGCAGGGGCCGGCGTTGGCCTCGGCTTCTGCGAGTGCCGCAGGTTCAGGGAGGGAAGAAATCAGAGAGGCTCTTTTCTGCCGGTCGCCGAGGCTCAGGTGCAGCGTGCCAGACAGGGTTTGGGAGGGGGGGTGGACAGCCTGAAGGCCTGGGTTGGACCTTGCTAAGCTGCCATTGCATTTGAGCGTTCATGGCCTCCGAAAGAGATGCTTACCTCTAACTGAACTTATCCTTGCTTAACCTTTTCTTTTTTTCCCGCTCTGCTGCTTTTTTGTGTTCTCAGAGGAAGGAGGAATGCGCGAACGAGAAATCAGGTATTTACTGGAGGCCCGTCTACGAGACGGAGTAAATTAACCAGAGAGGTGCAACTGTACTCTACTGGAAAAAAAACAACCAAACAAAGGAAAATAAACATCCACTTAGGCAGTGAGACACAGCTCACATTCCCCCTTGAGCTCCTTCCACAAGGGGCCTGGAGAGAAGCGGCTTTGAAACAAAAGCCAGAACTCATTGCAGGTTCAGATACAGGCAGTTCATTTCACACACTGTGGTGTTTCATTTTTTTTTTTTTAGCATCTGCTGACAATGGCTCTTTCTTTAGGTGGAAATATTGTTGTAAGCTCTGTTACTGGAAGCTTATTTCACCAGACAGGTACAGCACAAGTTTTATTTCGGCTCAGCATTACACCTTTGAAATGGAATAGCTTGCATCAGTCCCCTGTCTCAACCAGATAGTGAGCAGCAGTCTTTCACACACTTTAGTGAAAGCTTTTTTTTTTTTGTGCATAATTGACTCACATAGTATACTCAGCACTTTATGATGGCTTGATGTGTGTAACGCCTCCTTTTCTTGCCTGTCCTCTTACTAAACTCAATGGCACTGATTTTCAAATCTCTGTTTTTGCAATCTTTAATGCATTTCCCATGCTTTGTTATCAATAAACCAGTAATATTTTACTTTTTCCTTTCCTTTCATGAAGGATTCAGGACAGGCTATTCCACTTGTAGTAGAAAGCTGCATTCGTTACATCAATTTGTATGGTAAGTTGATTCAGTAATATCAACAGAAACTTCCTGCAAAGGAATTAAATAGTAGCAGTTAGCAGGGAAATATAGTAGAGATGCCCACAGCCCTTGCTACATGGGCTCAGGTTATAATTACAATGGCATTGACTGTGATGTAGCATTGGATGACTGACAAATGTTTAGGTTTTGTTAGCACTTAATCAAGGTAAATTGTTTGTTCAGGCCCCAGGCCAACAGGAGCTCTTTCAGTGCTTTGGTCTGGGGGGCCTTGATTGGAGACTATGACCAGAAATGAATTAGAGCAGGCTGTCCCCTTCCTGCTCTCTCAGCCTTTCTCTGCAGGTGCATTGACTCCTAGTTTCTGCTGTTCTTTACCAGAAAGTACTGTGTAACAGTTACAGAAATATTTTTAAAAATGTTGTTCCTTTCCAGGCCTTCAGCAGCAGGGCATTTTCAGAGTTCCTGGCTCCCAGGTGGAAGTGAACGACATCAAGAATTCGTTTGAGAGAGGTGCGTTGGCAGGATGTGCAGCTGCAGCTGGACCCCGTGTCCGAGCAGAGATCGTTGGTGGGAGTTTCAGTGTGTGCTGGGTGCATTAGACATTGTGTAAAGCCTGTGCTAAAGGCCTTTCTGCTACGAGACACGAGGAGGTTTTCTCCCCTTCTAGGTATCTCAGTACTGTATCTCCAGCAGTAGCAAAGAGTCACTTAGGTAAAGAGTATGAGAAGTAGGGGTAGGTGCAGAGATCTTTTCCACAGTCATTGATTAAGACCATGAAAGCCTCAGATGAGAGCCATAAAATAGTTTGTTGGGGATCCATTTTCCTGCTTCCTGCAGGGGTTTGTGAAAGGAGGAGCAGCATTGCCACATGTACCTGGTGGCAGTGTTGGCTGTGGAGCTGCTAGTGATTCTGTTGAGAAAAGCACATCGAAGATGTAAGGCTGGCAAGACAGAGCAGAGCAATCCTGCTGTCACCGGGTGAGGGTGCAGCTGTGAAAGGGACAGTCTAGATGGGAGTAATGGCCTCCATGGCATTAATCTTTGAGCAGCATTGGAGGGATCAGGGTGAAGGTGGCCAGGCCGATGAATAAGGCAGTGGTGAGATTGTCAAAGGCTGGAGGATTTGCACATCCAATTTAAGACGAATTGGTATCCAAATCCCTTAGATTTTGAAAGCCTTTTATAGATTTAAGTTAGTACAATGCTATCTAGAACCGTTTGGTCTATTCCAGGGGCATAATTGCATCCTCCAGCCAAGCCTGTCTTCTCAGGCTTTCACCCACCATCGTTTAGATCTGCTCAGCAGAGGGTTTTCTGAACTGTGGGAAATTTTGGGTTTCCAGAGTTAGTAAAAAACACTTGTTGTGTTAGTCCAACTTGATAGTAATGCTGGAAATAAAAACTCTTCTCTGGGCAGGTGAAGATCCCCTTGCTGATGATCAAAATGAACGTGACATTAATTCAGTGGCTGGAGTCTTGAAGCTGTATTTCCGAGGACTGGAAAACCCCCTATTTCCTAAGGAAAGGTTTCAAGATTTGATATCTACTATAAGTAAGTACATGTGACAGCTCTTCTCGGAGAATAGGGTGGGACAAGTGAAGCAATAAACGGGGAGCAGATACATCTGAGTTTTTTTGCAAATAGCAGCTTATGCTGTAAGAAGGGCTATAGGTCTGCAACGGAGTTGTTAGGAAAAGACATTAAGAGTGTGCATTGGCAGCGATGGAGGTGAGGGAGCGGTAAAACATCTTACTGTGGCTCTTTTAAATTCTTCCTAGCATCATGAGGATCACCATAGAGTCATCTCCAAGCTTAGGCCAGTGAGCTGCACATGCGGCAAGCCCATACACACACTTGCGGGTTGCATGAGGGGTCATTAGTTGCTTGAACAGCGTTGGCTGCTGTCCTGCCTGCACAGATCTCTGTGCAGATAGCGATGGTTCCTGTGCCTGCCTGTCACATGTCAAGCAGCCATGCCTCCTGGGACCCAAAGGGGTTTTGCTGCTTTAGCTCAGTGTCTTCTACTAAACATAGTGAAGGTCAGTAACTCTTGGCTGCTCACAAAGCTTCTCCGACCCCTGAGGTCTGCAGAATTGCTTTCAACCTCACTCAATCAGCTGTTCTCCAAGTGTTTGCTATGTGCATTTCCCATCCCAAAGAAAACCAGACAGTGCTTTGGGATGTGAGCAGAGGTAGAAGCTGAGGGTTTTTAATCATGAAGGGTCTGGGATTGATGTCAGGGAGAGCCTGGTTGCTTCTTGTTCTGTCCTGAATTCTCCTCCCAGCTCCACTTGTTCCTCTGCAATTGAAGAAACAGATATCCCAGCTGGAGTTTACTTCTCTCAGTACCTTGTAGTGATGACATTTATTTATTGGCCTGTCGTGGAAATTACTCCCCTGGGGGAAAGGAAGAAGGCAGAATGAATTTGATGTTTCAGAGGTGATGGAGGAGCGTGTTGCATGCTTTGTCTGCAGGGTGACTTTTATTTACAGGAGAGGCATCAGAGTTGTTTGAGGGTTCGAGTGTCTTGGTACGTTGTGGGGGGACTGACCTGGTGAACATGTGCTGAAGTCCTTCGTTTGGCTTTCATTGCTCCTGGCTCCTTCCCCCCTCCTTAATGTTAATGTGCATAACTGCTAGAGATTTAGTGATGTCAAGAAAGACAGATGCTATCTAGAGGGGAACGATGCAGGGATGGGCTTGTTCCAGAAGGAGAAGAATCTCCCCTTATTTTTCAAGAACAGTTGTTTTATATAGTAGCTTTAGGAAATTCGCTGTTGCCTTTCAGTTTTGATGTGTAAAACAGCACAGCATACCTGTAACATGGCAAACAAAGGAAGCTGTTTCTACACCAGTTTCGTGCCCCAGAGAGGGAGCTGTAGCCTGGCTTGCAGCGCTCGCTCCAGTTGCCTTCCCCGAGGGGCTTGCAGCAGGCAGAGTGGGGAAGCCTGAGAGGGCACAGCCCAGAGAGAAGGGGACGAGTCCCCCTCGGTGCCGGGAAATGTGCCCGGTGCTTGGTGATGTGACTGTCTGTGTGCTTGCAGGTAGGCTTGTGCTTTGGAACTATCCCTAATTAATGCCAATTTGCACGATTTATTAAGCTTTTGGGAGGTTTTCATTACAAACATCATCTGTTAATTTTCTGGATAGTATTCTCTTCTTTCTTTATTTATTTCTTCCCATTTTCGCAAGAATCTTCCTTTTTCTCATCTTTCCTTTCTTTTCCTGCTGCTGTTCCTGCCTTTCAATTAAGGATAGATTTAAAATGAATTAAAGTGCCTTGTTCCCATTAAAAATCTGACCTTAAGTGCATCTGATTTTCTGCCACATAAATACAGGCTGCGTAATAGGTGCCCCAACCCAAACAGATTGAAGAAACCTTCTTCCTTTGAGAACCACTGCTCAGTAAAATGCCACCCTTGCTGTAGGATGTTCTGTGTCATTGTGCAATTACGGCGGAAAGGTTAAATGCAGCCGAGTGGTTTGGGCTCTCCACCCCAGGGCATCACAAAGCCACCTTGATTTCCCTTGGCTCCTGGTAAGGTATTCTGAGTGAGCCTTTCGCAGCAGGGGCTGCTGCGCACATCGCAGGGCCTCTGAGTGCCCCTGGAAGGCTGCAGAGCCACGTCATTCCCTGCCGCTGTGGCGGGGAGGCCAGGCTTGCTGGTGGCCGATGAAAGGCTGGCTTTTCCTTTTGCCTTATAGGGGACTGAGAGTTTACATGGAAGCGTTTCTCAAATGCACGTGAGAAACAGGTGGATAGAAAAGGCACTTTGTTTGCTAAGGTTCATTCAGGGGTGTGCCTGTATGATGAAGTGATTGATGATCACTCCTTTAATTCCTCTGAATTACAGCCAGTTGAAACATTTCTGCTAAGTGAAGAAAGGCAAGTGCTTCAAGACAATTCGTTCCTCTAGGTTTCAGAACAGATATCTATTGTTGTAGGTTTTTATCCAGTTCTTATTTATTTGATTTTTCTTTTTTTTTTTTTTTTTACAAATGTCCCCTTAAGTGAAACCAAACTGAAGAAGTAGGGAACCCAGTAAGCAATAACGGGATAAACACATTCCTCAAAAGGAAGAATTTCTAAAATGAAATATTACAAATATTTCGACCTTTAAACTGAAGCCAAATTTTGCTCAGAATTTTTGAACAAATGGCAGCCGAGCTACATGTTGTCAGTGAATATTATGATTAGCAAATGTCAAAGTTTGAGCCAGCAAAATAAAGTAAGCATCTCTCTGCTGATTTGGCTTATTCCATGCATCTGAGTCTGACTGCTCTCAGGAAAGCTTTGGTACTCTCTGTCTGCTTTCTGTAAAATAAAAGCCACAGGATTAACTATCTACGTAATATATTGAACAGATACTAGCTTAAAAAAAAGTAGCGTTGGGGGCTGGAATGTGCTGCCAGCCGCTGCAGGAGCGGCACTGAGCCCCTCGGCGGGTCGGTGCCGGAGCGGGGCTCTTGCAGCTCTGTAGGTGAAGGAGGCTGCTGTGCGGGGGCTTCAGCATCGTCCTGGTGCGGGGCTGCTGGAGGGCGGAGGAGCGGTGCAGGGCTCCCTGGGTGAGTGAGCTGGCTCTGGAAGCAAGGTAGCTCTAAGTCCGTCCTCCTTCCTACGGAAGGAAGCTGATTTCTGATAGCAGCTAGGGGCTTTGCGCACTGCTGTGGAGGGAAGCGAAACTTAAAGTGCTGACTCAGAACCAGTTCAGATTAAATTCCTATTATGACCAGTGGGAGACTGGAGCAGAAGGACTCAGAAGGACCTGATGGTTAACCTGTAAGAGTAATGTGAATAAAAACCACATTTAAAAATGTGCCCTAGAAAACCAAGCAGTGTTCCATTTTCCAGTGCCAAATTGACTCAAGCTTTTGAGAAGTAGGCTAGTTGTTGAGGAATGATCTAAATAATCTGCAAACAGTTATTTTAAAAATAAAACCATGGAAATGTCTTTATTTGCTGTTTATACTGAATCTGAACATACGTATGAATTCACCTGTGGAAGAGCTCTATGCCCGATTCTCTGCTTGCACTTCAGTGCCAAACCAATGGATCAAATCTGGAAATAGGCTATTGTTCTCCTCGCATAATGGGCTACTAGAACTGGAACAAGTCCCTCTGGTGCTGTGTTGTCTGGTCCTGAGAAAGTTTAAAGATGTGCTTTCTATCCATGTGTTCCAGAAATCGAGAATACCACCGAGAGAGTGCACCAGATCCAGCAAATCATCGTCACTCTGCCCCGGGCTGTCATCGTTGTCATGAGATATCTTTTTGCTTTCCTTAATCAGTGAGTCTTTTTTTTCCTCTTTCACTGAGTTTCTCCTTGCCCTCCTTTTTTTTCAGGGCTTCCCAGTCTTCATTACTTGAGTCCTTTTTGGTATTGCCATGGAGAGTTGTATTTTGCTCCTTCCTCAGCCTTGCCTAGCCATGGCTGTATGTTCAGGGAAGATGTACAGCTCAGTGATGATTGCTTTCCTGGGCGGCGGGAGTTTGTTTGTGGGAGATTTTTCTGAGCGAACGGTGAAAGTCGGCACTGCGCCTCCCTAACACTTGTGCTTGCAGCTTATCGCAGTACAGCGATGAGAACATGATGGATCCCTACAACCTGGCCATCTGCTTTGGGCCCACTCTGATGCACATTCCAGATGGGCAGGATCCGGTGTCCTGCCAAGCCCATGTCAATGAGGTCATCAAAACCATCATCATTAACCACGAGGGCATCTTCCCCAGCCACAGAGAGCTGGAAGGACCTGTCTACGAGAAGTGCATGACTGGAGGGGAGGAGTACTGGTAAGGAGAGGGGGCAGAACTTAATTGTTTGCAGAACTTAAAGCCAGATCCCCATGCCAGCGTTATCTTTTGGCACTGTACATTAAGAGTGAACCTGTGACAAAATGCAGGGCTTTGGCTGGATTCCTGGTAGACAGAGAATTGACCCTAGCTCACACGAGTGTAGGAGAAGGGCTCTTGGGAGCAGATCCCCGAGAGGATGGGGTGTGAGGAGAGCTTTGGGAAGTTCAGACTTAATATTCAGAGCAGCTGAGCATGCTGTTGGGGTGAATTTGCCCCTCTGCGGAAGGGGCATGCCTTTTTGTATGTATTCCTGTTAAATGTTATGAATTATGTGTGCAAGTGATATATATTTGATAGGCTTGTGCTGTTTTGTACTCATTAAGAATCTTACTCCATACCAGGCTGTCTGCGTGGTTCTTAGTTATAAATACCTTGATAAAACTAAGAGGATTTTTCACACCTAACCAATTAGTCTCTACTTGTATATATCAGTTTTGCTTTTTCATTTTAGCCTTGCTGGTGAAAACAGAGGCAGTTTTTCACTGGGGGTTTGTGGGGGTGTTTTTGTTTTTGTTTTTTCATTTTTCTCATGCTGATACAGCATTACAAACCTCAGTAGAAACTTGAGGAGAAAATTGTTTCCAATATGAATATTAATATTTATAAAAAATCTTTTTAGCTGCAGATTCACAGAAGTGTGTTCAGAGCAAAACAGAATTTTAGGTCAATTCTAACCAAATTCCTCTTAGGTTGGAATTTTTGAGTAAAGTCTCATAGCTGATCATAATTGCATAAGTTGGACGAAATCCCTTAGCCCAAAGTTAACCTGAACCTTCCAGTTCCTTTTGTTTTGTCAGTGCTGGAAGACAGATGAGTTTGCGCTAGCTGGGGATGGGATCAGCCATGTGCGACTGCATTGCATCGCATCTTTCTGGTGCATAATTCACCCTACTTGGTATAGCCAGGATAGGAAAACTCCATAAACAAACTCCCACATTAGAAGTGTAAGTGATATTACACATTTGTCTGGAGGATGCTGGAATTCTAAACTGACATTCAGATCTGAGTTTTAACAAACCAGTATTTATAAGACTTGAACTGATTTGTGTGCAAGTTTTATACATTTCTGAGGCCTAATCTTCCCTGATGCTGATCACCTGCCACCATCCTTAATGATGCAAGCGGAGGATAAAATACTAAAACTCATTGTGAATGAGTGAGTGGAACATTTTAACTTGGTATCACTTTATATTTGTTTTGCCAAATAATGAGTAAGATGCATGAGCAACAGAACATGATGTCCTGGGCCTGAAGATCGTGGTGCGAGTGTCTGCTGTTCTCAAAGCAAGTTCAGAGATCTGCTGTGATTTAAAATGATCATCTCAGTCCTATGAAAACTAAAAACATAACTCTCTCAGGTGTCACTGGGGCCAGAATTTCCCTCAACAACTTAGTTTTGTTAAATGCCTCGGGAACAGAATCTCATTCTTTCTTTGAAAGCATGGTGTATTTTATTTCAGTGACAGCCCGCACAGCGAGCCAGGCACCATCGATGAGGTTGACCATGACAACGGCACAGAGCCACACACCAGTGATGACGGTGAGCACAAACAGAAAATCAGGTCTCTGTTAGAAAAGCTGTACATGCGGGAAAGCAGTGTGCACTTCGCTCCTAGTCTGATTAGGGGCTGGACTAGCGTGTGCTTGGTAATCCATATGCATATTAATAAATGTTCCTTATAGGTTTTGATCATAGGATGTGCATGGACCTTCGCAGTGGTCTGAATCCATGGGAGGGTACAGGGGTTGGTTTTTTGGAGCTGTTCTATGAGATTCCATTAATTCCATATGTCTTTTTCCTTTTCCTTGTCATCTGTGCTTACATGCAGCCATGCTATGGTGAGGACATGCTGTGTGAAATGGCTCACGAGAACAGGAGGGGAGACAGGGGGCTGATGGGGGGTGGGGACCAGCTCTGTTCACTCCAGGCCCTTGGATG